GCTAAGCTTGCCAGCCAATACTGGAGCTCAATGCTTCACTTATATAACCTTAGAAAAAGCCGGTGCAAAATTGTTGGACTTTCATAAAAGTCTTCCCTGCATGAACGACCCAGCTGGATAAATCAGGGCTTAAATTGAACCTAAAAGTCTCTTTCACTATCAAAGTTTGCCTCAGTGGCTGACTGACTGACTGACTGACTGAGAGTCTGTCAGGAAAAACACGCTGAGGTTTACTCCCTTGAGCGATATCCAATGTCGAAAATAAACTGAATCAGAGAGCTCGATACGACTGATCCTTAAGAAGAGTAGTGTGGCTAGTGGCAGGGGTAGTGTGGCTAGTGGCAGGGGAGGGGTACTGTTGCTAGTGGCAGGAGTAGTGTGGCTCGTGGCAGGGATACTGTTGCTAGTGGCAGGAGTAGTGTGGCTAGTGGCAGGGATACTGTTGCTAGTGGCAGGAGTAGTGTGGCTAGTGGCAGGGGTACTGTTGCTAGTGGCAGTAGGGGTAGTAGGGTGTGGCTAGTAGCAGGGGTACTGTTACTAGTGGCAGGGGTAGTGTGGCTAGTGGCAGGGGTACTGTTGCTAGTGGCAGGAGTAGTGTGGCTAGTGGCAGGGATACTGTTGCTAGTGGCAGGAGTAGTGTGGCTAGTGGCAGGGGTACTGTTACTAGTGGCAGGGGTAGTGTGGCTAGTGGCAGGGTAGTGTTGCTAGTGGCAGGGGTATTGTTGCTAGTGGCAGGAAGTGTGGCTAGTGGCATGGGTACTGTTACTAGTGGCAAGGGTAGTGTGGCTAGTGGCAGGGGTAGTGTGGCTAATGGCAGGAGTAGTGTGGCTAGTGGCAGTGTAGTGTCGCTAGTGGCAGGGTAGTGTTGCTAGTAGTAGGGGTACTGTTGCTAGTGGCAGGGGTAGTGTGGCTAGTGGCAGGGATACTGTTGCTAGTGGCAGGGGTTGTGTGGCTAGTGGTAGGGTAGTGTGGCTAGTGGCAGGGATAGTGTTGCTAGTGGCAGGGGTAGTGTGGCTAGTGACAGGAATAGTGTGACTAATGGCAGGGTAGTGTTGCTAGTGGCAGAGGTAGTGTTGCTAGTGGCAGGGTTAGTGTGGCTGGTGGCAGGGGTAGTGTGGCTGGTGGCAAGGATAGTGTGGCTGGTGGCAGGGGGTAGTGTGGCTGGTGGCAAGGATAGTGTGGCTGGTGGCAGAGATGGTGTGGCTGGTGGCAGGGATAGTGTGGCTGGTGGCAGGGATAGTATGGCTGGTGGCAGGGGTAGTGTGGCTGGTGGCAAGGATAGTGTGGCTGGTGGCAGGGATGGTGTGGCTGGTGGCAAGGATGGTGTGGCTGGTGGCAGGGATAGTGTGGCTGGTGGCAGGGATAGTGTGGCTGGTGGCAAGGATAGTGTGGCTGGTGGCAAGGATAGTGTGGCTGGTGGCAGGATAGTGTGGCTGGTGGCAGGATGGTGTGGCTGGTGGCAGGGATGGTGTGGCTGGTGGCAGGGATAGTGTGGCTGGTGGCAAGGATAGTGTGGCTGGTGGCAAGGATAGTGTGGCTGGTGGCAGGGATAGTGTGGCTGGTGGCAAGGATAGTGTGGCTGGTGGCAAGGATAGTGTGGCTGGTGGCAGGGATAGTGTGGCTGGTGGCAAGGATAGTGTGGTTGGTGGCAAGGATAGTGTGGCTGGTGGCAGGAATAATGTGGCTGGTGGCAGGGATAGTGTGGCTGGTGGCAAGGATAGTGTGGCTGGTGGCAGGGATAGTGTGGCTGGTGGCAGGGATAGTGTGGCTGGTGGCAAGGATAGTGTGGCTGGTGGCAAGGATAGTGTGGCTGGTGGCAGGGATAGTGTGGCTGGTGGCAGGGATAGTGTGGCTGGTGGCAAGGATAGTGTGGCTGGTGGCAGGGATAGTGTGGCTGGTGGCAGGGATAGTGTGGCTGGTGGCAGGGATAGTGTGGCTGGTGGCAAGGATAGTGTGGCTGGTGGCAAGGATAGTGTGGCTGGTGGCAAGGATAGTGTGGCTGGTGGCAAGGATAGTGTGGCTGGTGGCAAGGATAGTGTGGCTGGTGGCAAGGATAGTGTGGCTGGTGGCAAGGATAGTGTGGCTGGTGGCAGGGGTAGTGTGGCTGGTGGCAGGGGTAGTGTGGCTGGTGGCAAGGATAGTGTGGCTGGTGGCAAGGATAGTGTGGCTGGTGGCAGGGGTAGTGTGGCTGGTGGCAAGGATAGTGTGGCTGGTGGCAGGGGTAGTGTGGCTGGTGGCAGGAGTATTCAGAGATCTGGGAGAGGTTGTACACTGTGGAGAAACAGTGTTGTTCTTAGCTGACGGAGGGTCGAGCCTGCAACATTTCTTGAAGAGCCCACACGGGTTCAGCGCACACCTATTACAAGTCATAATGAACGACGCACAGACAGAAGATAGAACGGAGACTCGAACCGGGGTACTGGCGTGTGGCAAGAAGTGCTGTTTCTAACATTATAACTTTCTTGGCTGAGTGGTAGTGTTGGGCCTGCCACACCCAGCACCATGGTTCGAGTCTCCTGCCACTCTTCTGCTAACACTTGGAAAGGAATATGAGCTTTAAATTATGAGTACACTTACTCTGGTAACTTTAGCTTATGAGTACACTTTAGCAACTTCAACTCACGAGCACACTTTAGCAACTTCACCTGACGTGTACACTTTAGCAACTTTACCTGACGAGTACACTTACTCTAGCAACTTCACTTGACGTGTACACTTACTCTAGCAACTTCACTTGACGTGTACACTTACTCTAGCAACTTCATCTGACGAGTATACTTACTCTAGCAACTTCACCTGACGAGTACACTTACTCTAGCAACTTCACTTGACGTGTACACTTACTCTAGCAACTTCATCTGACGAGTATACTTACTCTAGCAACTTCACCTGACGAGTACACTTACTCTAGCAACTTCACCTGACGTGTACACTTACTCTAACAACTTCACCTGACGTGTACACTTACTCTAGCAACTTCACCTGACGTGTACACTTACTCTAGCAACTTCACCTGACGTGTACACTTACTCTAGCAACTTCACCTGACGTGTACACTTACTCTAGCAACTTCACCTGACGTGTACACTTACTCTAGCAACTTCACCTGACGTGTACACTTACTCTAGCAACTTCACCTGACGTGTACACTTACTCTAGCAACTTCATCTGACGAGTACACTTACTCTAGCAACTTCACCTGACGTGTACACTTTAGCAACTTCACCTGACGAGTACACTTACTCTAGCAACTTCACCTGACGAGTACACTTACTCTAGCAACTTAGGCTTGTGTGCAGAGTGTGCTGGAGTGATGGTGTTCCCCAGGTGAACGCACTGGTGACTGCCGTAGTTAACATTGACAACATAGGGTGGTGGTGTTGAGATGAGGCGAGGCACCACACCGTCACTGCCCCACTCAGAGTGCAGGTACTCCTGCCACTCACCTTCACTCAGCTCCTCCTCCTCCACCTGCAACAACGAGCCACATAGTTGTCGTCATCAGGACGCGCCACAAGGAGAAAACTTTTGTTGAGGAAAGTTGTGTAAGTGGAAGGTTGTAGAGGGGAGGGGGAGGGGAGGGGGTGAAGTGAAAAAGAGAGAGGGGAGGAGAGGAAAGGGAGGGGGGAGGGGAAGCCTCACTCTCACCAACTCACAACACATTAAACATTAATATCAACTCACAACACAGTAAACATCAATATCATCAACTCACAACACAGTAGGCATCAATCTTATCAACTCATCAATGAGCAGAAATGTTTTAAAATGTACTGAATTATTTTCCTTAGATCCATCAAACTGACTTAACTTAGAATAATCTAAGAAATATATTTTTAACCTGACTATTGTGAATTTAACATGTGACCTGTGTCGTGTGTGATCTGTGACCTGTATTGTGGGTGACCTGTGTCCTGTGTTACTTGTATTGTGTGTGACTGTGTCTTGTGTGACCTGTGACCTGTCCTGTGTGACTTGTGTCTTGTGTTACCTGTGCTGTGTTACCTGTGTCTTGTGTGACCTGTATCTTGTTACCTGTATCGTGTGTGACCTGTGTCTTATGTGACCTGTATCGTGTGTGGCCTGTCTTGTGTTACCTGTATCATGTTTGACCTGTCTTGTGTTACCTGTAGCGTGGGTGACCTGTCTTGTCGTACCTGTATCGTTGGTGACTTGTCTTGTCGTACCTGTATCGTGGGTTCGAAGAAGGAGTGCATGGAAGCCGCATGCGGTGCCGCTTGCAAGGACTCTGCCAGAGTGGGGAACTCTTGTAAGCGATTAGTTAAGTCTAGAGGCAGGTGATTGGGTACTTGGGGAACTCTGGGAACATCGGGGAATCCCAAGTTTCCAGGACGTCTTGGGCTTTGAGAAGTTACTTGGCCCTCGGGAGCTTCCAGGGTCTCGGGGGCACGTGGGCCATCGTGTAGCGTTGGGGCATTTGGGTATTCTGGAAGTCTCGGGGTTCCCGGGGCTCTTGGGGCTCCAGAAGCCTTCGAAGGCCCTGGAGCTCTTGGAGTTCCAGGTGCCTTCGAAGGCCCTGGAGCTCTTGGAGTTCCAGAAGCCTTTAAAGGCCCTTGAGCTTTTGGGAATCCTGACGGTCTTTGAGATTCTGAGAGACTTTGGACTTCTTGAGGTCTTTCTTCTACTGGTAGCCACTGTTTTGGAGGTTGTAAACTGTCTGCAAGTCTTGGAGGGTTGGACTGTTGGGCCTCAGGCTGGCCTGTGAGTCTGTGATGACTGATCTGTGGATCCTCAGATCCCTTCGACGACAATTTGTTATGATGCTGTGTGGTCTGTGGAGGTCTGTGACGAATGTCTTGAATTCTGAGGGCTTGTCGAAATCTTTGGGCGCCTCCCAGCACCTGTGTGGTTGGGAAGCGTCTGCTGTACTGAGCTGTGCGTGCCGCAGACTGCTCCTGCTGTTGCTGTTGGCATTCTGCTGTGAGGAAGGTCAGCAGCACCAAGACACCAGCACCACGGCGCCAGCTGATCTCCACCATCTGCAGATGGAAACTCAGGATAAAAGAGGGTTTTATTCTGTCTTGTAAAGTTGAGAGTTTTATTCATCTTATTAGAGATTAGGAGTGTATGCAAGTAATCTCTGTCTCTCTCGTGAAACAATACCACACAAGACCTTTACGTTCCAATACATAAATTACTGTTAGGTTTCAGCTAGTTGGTGGGTCAGTGAATATTGTAGTGAGGTCGGTGCTGCGAGCAGAGGTCAGAGGTCACTCGCTAAAGGGTCAAGGTGACAGTGTGGAAAAAGTATTAGTGGACTTATAACTCAACACTTACCAGAAGTAGAGAAGTTATAACTCAACACTTGAAAAACAACATTACAACACAGATGTGTGTTCAGTAAACACAGTGTGATATAGTGAATGATAGTGTTGTGTACCAGGCAGCTGCTGCTTGTGTTGTGTACCAGGCAGCTGCTGCTTGTGTTGTGTACCAGGCAGCTGCTGCTTGTGTTGTGTACCAGGCAGCTGCTGCTTGTGTTGTGTACCAGGCAGCTGCTGCTTGTGTTGTGTACCAGGCAGCTGCTGCTTGTGATGTGTACCAGGCAGCTGCTGCTTGTGTTGTGTACCAGGCAGCTGCTGCTTGTGATGTGTACCAGGCAGCTGCTGCTTGTGTTGTGTACCAGGCAGCTGCTGCTTGTGTTGTGTACCAGACAGCTGTTGCTTGTGTTGTGTACCAGGCAGCTGCTGCTTGTGATGTGTACCAGGCAGCTGCTGCTTGTGTTGTGTACCAGGCAGCTGTTGCTTGTGATGTGTACCAGGCAGCTGCTGCTTGTGTTGAGTACCAGGCAGCTACTGCTTGTGTTGTGTACCAGGCAGCTGCTGCTTGTGATGTGTACCAGGCAGCTGCTGCTTGTGTTGTGTACCAGGCAGCTGCTGCTTGTGTTGTGTACCAGGCAGCTGTTGCTTGTGATGTGTACCAGGCAGCTGCTGCTTGTGATGTGTACCAGGCAGCTGTTGCTTGTGTTGTATACCAGGCAGCTTCTGCTTGTGATGTGTACCAGGCAGCTGCTGCTTGTGTTGTGTACCAGGCAGCTGCTGCTTGTGTTGTGTACCAGGCAGCTACTGCTTGTGTTGTGTACCAGGCAGCTGTTGCTTGTGTTGTGTACCAGGCAGCTGTTGCTTGTGTTGTGTACCAGGCAGCTGTTGCTTGTGATTTGTACCAGGCAGCTGTTGCTTGTGTTGTGTAGCAGGCAGCTGTTGCTTGTGTTGTATACCAGGCAGCTGCTGCTTGTGTTGTGTACCAGGCAGCTGTTGCTTGTGATGTGTACCAGGCAGCTGCTGCTTGTGTTGAGTACCAGGCAGCTGCTGCTTGTGTTGTGTACCAGGCAGCTGCTGCTTGTGATGTGTACCAGGCAGCTGCTGCTTGTGTTGTGTACTAGGCAGCTGCTGCTTGTGTTGTGTACCAGGCAGCTGTTGCTTGTGATGTGTACCAGGCAGCTGTTGCTTGTGTTGTATACCAGGCAGCTGCTGCTTGTGATGTGTACCAGGCAGCTGCTACTTGTGATGTGTACCAGGTAGCTGTTGCTTGTGTTGTGTACCAGGCAGCTGTTGCTTGTGTTGTGTACCAGGCAGCTGTTGCTTGTGATTTGTACCAGGCAGCTGTTGCTTGTGTTGTGTAGCAGGCAGCTGTTGCTTGTGTTGTATACCAGGCAGCTGCTGCTTGTGTTGTGTACCAGGCAGCTGTTGCTTGTGATGTGTACCAGGCAGCTGCTGCTTGTGTTGAGTACCAGGCAGCTGCTGCTTGTGTTGTGTACCAGGCAGCTGCTGCTTGTGATGTGTACCAGGCAGCTGCTGCTTGTGTTGTGTACTAGGCAGCTGCTGCTTGTGTTGTGTACCAGGCAGCTGTTGCTTGTGATGTGTACCAGGCAGCTGTTGCTTGTGTTGTATACCAGGCAGCTGCTGCTTGTGATGTGTACCAGGCAGCTGCTACTTGTGATGTGTACCAGGTAGCTGTTGCTTGTGTTGTGTACCAGGCAGCTGTTGCTTGTGTTGTGTACCAGGCAGCTGCTGCTTGTGTTGTGTACCAGGCAGCTGTTGCTTGTGTTGTGTACCAGGCAGCTGTTGCTTGTGTTGTGTACCAGGCAGCTGTTGCTTGTGTTGTGTACCAGGCAGCTGTTGCTTGTGTTGTGTACCAGGCAGCTGTTGCTTGTGATTTGTACCAGGCAGCTGTTGCTTGTGTTGTGTAGCAGGCAGCTGTTGCTTGTGTTGAGTACCAGGCAGCTGCTGCTTGTGTTGTGTACCAGGCAGCTGTTGCTTGTGTTGTGTACCAGGCAGCTGTTGCTTGTGATGTGTACCAGGCAGCTGTTGCTTGTGTTGTGTACCAGGCAGCTGTTGCTTGTGTTGTGTACCAGGCAGCTGTTGCTTGTGATTTGTACCAGGCAGCTGTTGCTTGTGTTGTGTACCAGGCAGCTGCTGCTTGTGATGTGTACCAGGCAGCTGCTGCTTGTGTTGTGTACCAGGCAGCTGCTGCTTGTGTTGTGTACCAGGCAGCTGTTGCTTGTGATGTGTACCAGGCAGCTGTTGCTTGTGTTGTGTACCAGGCAGCTGCTGCTTGTGATGTGTACCAGGCAGCTGTTGTTTGTGTTGTGTACCAAGCAGCTGTTGCTTGTGTTGTGTACCAGGCAGCTGCTGCTTGTGTTGTGTACCAGGCAGCTGCTGCTTGTGTTGTGTACCAGGCAGCTGTTGCTTGTATTGTGTACCAGGCAGCTGCTGCTTGTGTTGAGTACCAGGCAGCTGTTGCTTGTGATGTGTACCAGGCAGCTGCTGCTTGTGTTGAGTACCAGGCAGCTGCTGCTTGTGTTGTGTACCAGGCAGCTGCTGCTTGTGTTGTGTACCAGGCAGCTGCTGCTTGGTGTTGTGTACCAGGCAGCTGCTGCTTGTGTTGTGTACCAGGCAGCTGCTGCTTGTGTTGTGTACCAGGCAGCTGCTGCTTGTGTTGTGTACCAGGCAGCTGCTGCTTGTGTTGAGTACCAGGCAGCTGTTGCTTGTGATGTGTACCAGGCAGCTGCTGCTTGTGTTGAGTACCAGGCAGCTGCTGCTTGTGTTGTGTACCAGGCAGCTGCTGCTTGTGTTGTGTACCAGGCAGCTGTTGCTTGTGATGTGTACCAGGCAGCTGCTGCTTGTGTTGTGTACCAGGCAGCTGCTGCTTGTGTTGAGTACCAGGCAGCTGCTGCTTGTGTTGTGTACCAGGCAGCTGCTGCTTGTGTTGTGTACCAGGCAGCTGCTGCTTGTGATGTGTACCAGGCAGCTGCTGCTTGTGTTGTGTACCAGGCAGCTGCTGCTTGTGTTGAGTACCAGGCAGCTGCTGCTTGTGTTGTGTACCAGGCAGCTGCTGCTTGTGTTGTGTACCAGGCAGCTGCTGCTTGTGATGTGTACCAGGCAGCTGTTGCTTGTGTTGTGTACCAGTCAACAACACCACTGACTCAACAACAGCATTTCGTCATCTTGAGACGTTGTGAAGACGTTTCCCCGTGTAAAAGACAAATATGGGTGGGTAGAGCAGTACATCCCAGCAGTACATCCCAGCAGTACATCCCAGCAGTACATCCCAGCAGTACATCCTAGCAGTACATCCCAGCAAGATGTGTTCTTTTGACAATGGTCTTATGCCTGGGTGAGGAAGTGTCAGAGGTGGGCGGGTCTAGGCGTGAAATATAGCAAGTTTGGTCCTGGACCGTCACCGGGACAAATCTAGCTCTTTCCCCCGAGGGTTTGGTCCTGGCTGCTAGTGACGGCTGGAGATGCATCACCAGCCACCCGGGTATCATTGTTATCCTGCGGAGATTTATTGCAGTGCTGGTAGCAGCGCCCCGGGTGACAAACCCGCATGTGGTGGAGCAACGGGTGGCAGACGCAGTGCAAGGTTCTAGTGCTGGGAAGAACAAATAACTGCGGTACTTATAAGTGATGTAGATCTTAGGGTGAATGTGGAGGAGATTTCGGAGTTCTTGTGAGGAGAATTTCCAAGTTAAGATAACCTGTTTCTCATTATAATAGTGAGACACAGTACTGACAACTTGGTAAGTGAGACACAGTACTGACAACTTGGTAAGTGAGACACAGTACTGACAACTTGGTAAGTGAGACACAGTACTGACAACTTGGTAAGTGAGACACAGTACTGACAACTTGGTAAGTGAGACACAGTACGGACAACTTGGTAAGTGAGACACAGTATTGACAACTTGGTAAGTGAGACACAGTACTGACAACTTGGTAAGTGAGACACAGTACTGACAACTTGGTAAGTGAGACACAGTACTGACAACTTGGTAAGTGAGACACAGTATTGACAACTTGGTAAGTGAGACACAGTACTGACAACTTGGTAAGTGAGACACAGTACTGACAACTTGGTAAGTGAGACACAGTACTGACAACTTGGTAAGTGAGACACAGTACTGACAACTTGGTAAGTGAGACACAGTACTGACAACTTGGTAAGTGAGACACAGTACGGACAACTTGGTAAGTGAGACACAGTATTGACAACTTGGTAAGTGAGACACAGTACTGACAACTTGGTAAGTGAGACACAGTACTGACAACTTGGTAAGTGAGACACAGTACTGACAACTTGGTAAGTGAGACACAGTACTGACAACTTGGTAAGTGAGACACAGTACTGACAACTTGGTAAGTGAGACACAGTACTGACAACTTGGTAAGTGAGACACAGTACTGACAACTTGGTAAGTGAGACACAGTACTGACAACTTGGTAAGTGAGACACAGTACTGACAACTTGGTAAGTGAGACACACAGTTTTTATCTCTCACTTCTTCTACTCTCCTGATATTTAGTCTCCTCTATATTTGACTGTAGGAGCCTACTTTGGGGGCGAAACGTTCCTACAATAAAAATACCCAAGTGTTGCACATGTGTCTTAATTTATCAACTTGTCGGTGCTCTGAACTATTTATCCAAATGTTTTATTGTGTTACCTGCGAACACTCACCTGCGTGACTCACTCACAC